TCTAGTGCACGTATTATAGAAGAGTAGCATGAATGAAACCTGGAAAGAGGTTGGTGCAAGGTTGTAGGGAGTTTTGAATGCCAGGATAAGGAGTATGGACTTTATTTTGTATGTAGTAGTGAACTACTGAAGGTTTTGATTAGATGCACATGATCAGATTTATACATGAGGACAATGAATTTGATGGTGGTGTAGAAGAAGAATTGGAGAGCAAAGATAATGATTGATAGGGGAATGATTAGGCAACTTTCAGTTGTTTAGGCAAGTGGTAATAAGAGTCTACTAGGATGGTGACAGTGAATAGAAAAGGGGGATGGCTTAAGAAGTATTGTGCAGATAGAATAAGTTATAGAATTGGTAACTGGTGACTGAATTCATGTTCATTATTTCTTATGATATAGTAATTTCTCTTAAATTCATGTGCCACAATTTGTTTAGTCATTCCATAATCAATAGGTATCTACTGTGTTTCTAGTTCTTTGCTACTACAAAAGGTACTTCTGTGGATATTTTGGTGTGTGTGGGACCTTTCTTTCTTTGACATCCTTGGGGGTGATCCGTGGAATGTGATCTCTGTGTCAAAGGGTATAGATATTTTAGTCATTCTCTTCAAATAATTCCAAATTGAATTTCAGAATAGTTGGACCATTTCACAGCTTCACCAGCAATATGTTAGCATCCTTGTCTTTCGTCAGCCCCTTTAACATTGATTATTTCCACCCTTTCTCATCTTTGCCATTTTCTGAGTATGAAGTGACAGAAACCTCGAAGTTTTGATTTTCATTTTTCTTTTTAGGGATGTTAAATGGTTTTTCATACAGTTAATAGTTAGCAATTCTTCTTTTGAAAACTATTTTTCACATCCTTTGATGCCTTATCCTTTATGAAAAGGCTTACTGGTATTCTATTTTTTTTGGGGGGGGTGGTGGCAGCTAGGTTGTGTAGTGGATATAGAGCTGGGCCTGAAGTCAGGAAGACTTATCTTCCTGAGTTCAAATCTGGCCTCAGACACATACTAGCTCTGTGACTCTGGGCAAGTCACTTAACCCTATTTGCCTCAGTTTCTTCATCTGTAAAATGAGCTGGAGAAGTAAATGGCAAACTACTCCAGTATCTTTGCCAAAAACACCCCATATGGGTCATGAAAAGTTGGACACCGGTGAGCAACAACAGACAATTTTTTTGTTAATTTTGTTAATTTGCTTTATGTCTTGATTATCAAGAGATATTCGGTGCGAAGATTTTTCCCCCCTATTTAACAGATGTTCCTTATATCATAGTTGAATTGATTTAAAAAAATTTTAGTACAGAAACTTCTTATGTAATAAACATTTTATCTTCATGATTGCTTCTGTCCCTTCTTTGTTGAGGTATACTCCCCCAGGCATAGTCATGAGAGGTAGCTCACCTTATTCTTTTTTTTTTTTAGGTGGTTTCACCTTTCATATTCTTGTTTACCCATTTTGAGCTAATGATGAACGGTGAAAGATGTTAGTGTAAACCAGTTGTTCCCAATGCTTTTTTATCTTCAATCCCCTTTTAACTATGATTAAAAAAATGTTATGAACCTTCAGGGCAATTTAATATATTACCCATAATATTCTGCAATTATTTACTGCTTAAGGCACCGTTAAAGAATTCTTAACAGTAACTCTTTGGACCATTGTCTCAGACCCCCAGGGGAATTGCCAATCACTAAATAAATGGGAATCAAGTGGTCTAAACCTAATTTCAGCCAAACTGATTTCCGGTTTTCTCAGCACTTATTATCTAACAAGGAGTTCTTATTAGAATAATTTATGTTCTTGGATTTTATTGACTAGTGGGTACTTATGTTCAGTTGTTTCTACTTTTTCCTTATCGAGTCTGTTTCATTGTTGTATCTTATTTTACCTATACCATATAGTTTTGATAATTACTGCTTGATAGCATATCTGAAGTCCAGAAAGGCTCATTCTCATTATGTTCTGTCTTAGATTTCTTGTTCTTTAGGTCAAGGTGACTGTTTAGAAACTCAGTATGTGGTGAATTTAATCAAACTGTGTTAACTCAGAAATACTGTTGCAGAACCTTACTACTTTACTTCACTTTCCTTCACCCCTAGATCTTCCCCACTCCTCTCTCCATTCCTACAAAGCAAACAAATAAATAAGTAAGGTGAACTATGTTGTTGCTGAACTTGTAGTTTCTGACTAGAGGAATAACTTATTTGAATGATGAGTGAGGAGTTTCAGAAATTGTACTTAGTTTAGACATGTGAAGCATACAGAGACAGCATTTTGAACCCTCTAGAAGACCCACAGTGACATATCAATGCTTATTTGATTACCCTTCATTAAACAAACTTTGCTTAAGTTTAAGAACAAAACAAAATTAAAATAAAGTTCAAATGTCCGTAGTTGTTTCCTATCTTTTTTACCCTTCCAATTTTTGTTTCACCTGGGACTTCCTTTGAGTCTTCTTTGATATTGTAATGTCAGCGTTACAAGTCAGTCTTTTTGTATTCACCTGTGTTTTTAAGAAGCTGTGTGGGTAGCTGAATCAGCACATGGAGTTATTTAGTAGGCCGAATGCTTGCCCAAGGGTCTTTGCAGAAAAAAAAAAACATTTTTTTTTATGGTGGTAGGGCAAAGACATTTAGTGCTTACCTATATATGAGCCCTCTTTTAATTAGTATTCTGTAGTCTGGATCTTCTGGCGTGTGTTCTTTAAAGATTGTAGGAAGGGAGTTTTATGTTTATATGTTGGTGAAACTACCTAGGGGAAATTATTTGGGAGAAAAAAATCATCTGGTATTAAAATAGATTTATAAAGTTTTGTAACCATATTTTTTTGACATTTTAATTTTTCCAGAGGAGCTTCTGAATAATTTTGCCCAACAGATTGGAGCCTGGAGGTTCTGCCTCTATTTTCTCTCTAGCACACGGAATGATTATGTAATGATGTATAGTTTAACGGTTTTTGAGGTAAGTTTTCAGACAGTTCTATTCTCAAAATTTTGTGTTTATTTTACCTTTGATGTTATTTTAGTAGTATGTATTTCTTGTTGTTAGTCTGGCATTTGTAAACATGTGGTTAGAACTTTTGTTTAAATACCTCTGTTAAGATGACTAAGTCTTTTCTAGTCAGTGGGGAACAATGGAAGCTAAGGGTAAGTGACTTTGGGTAGAGTCAGTGTTTATGTGAACATTTAACTTCATAGTTGAAAAGTCAATAGTTTTTGGTATGATTCTTCTCGGATTTTCATGTGGCTCACCCACCATTTTAAATTTTAAGATGATTCATACCTTAGAAAAGATAAGCAGTCTTACTTTGTTTTAGTGTTGTGATACTTTTAATATTGTGATCTGCACATTTTAAGAAAATCAGCAAGCAGTCAAAAATAAGGACTGTGATTCTATGGCAAATTTAGAACGTACTTTTCAAATTAGTCAGCTTTGGGTATTATATGTAGTAAAGTGGAGGCGAGGTCTTGCATGCCTTCTTTGTCATGGAGTAAGTATTGTTCCATTTTACAATGGAAAAAAGATGAGTGAATAGCAGCTACGTGCCCTGTTCATTCCTAATCCAAATGCAAAGCTGAAGATCAATGTAATTCAGCTACCTTGGAAAATGTTCAAATAAAAATTTTGTAACCTCTGTCATGAATCAGATTTTAATCAGTTTGTGTAATCTTAAATTTTTTCAGGTAAGAAAACTTGTATCATTTTGTTTAGTGATTAAAGTCAGTTATTTGCATATGTGGTTTGCCCAACATAAAGGGTATCCTCTTTGTCTTTTAGAATCTGATCAATAAAATGTGGCTGGGAGTCCCATCCCAGGATAAGATGGAAATCCGAAGCTGCCTGCCCAAGCTTCTTCTAGCTCACCACAAAACCTTACCTTATTTTATCCGAAACAAGCTCTGCAAAGTTATTGTTGATATTGGCCGCCAAGATTGGCCTATGTTCTACCATGACTTTTTTACAAACATTTTACAGGTAAGAATATGCCTAAGGAAATCTGAAGAACCATTTTAGGAGTTTTGGATATCTTATCCTGAGAAGCTTGTTATACAAGTTGTTTCCTTCTTGGCTTGTAAAGAAGTTTTGAGATTAAATATTTTAGGAATATATTAGCAAGATTTGTATGTAAGTACCAACTGAGAATAATGTGCAAAAATAGGTGGGGAATTTACTGGATTACTTCTGTAAGCAACATTAGGGTCCTTAGTGGACTTAAGAATACCACTGTTTCGTTGTACACAGTAACAGCCACATTGCAGACATATTGTATGATGGCTAACTTTGATAGACTTATCTCTTCTTCGAAATGCAAGGATGTAAGACAACTCCAAAAGACTCGTGATGGAAAATGCTGTCCATATCCGGAAAAAGAACTATGAAGGTTGAATGCAGATTGAAGTATATTATTTGCTCTTTCTCTGTTTTTTTTTCTTTTTTTGTTTGTTTCTTCTCTCTTGTGGTCCTCCTGTTGATTCTAATTCTTCTTTACAACATGACTAATGTTAAAATAGGTTTAATATGAATGTGTACGTTAAGTCTATATCAATTTACATGTTGTCTTGGGTTAGGGGGAGGGGAGAGATGGGGAGAAAATTTGGAACTCAAAATCTTTTGGAAGTAAATGTTGAAAACTACAAATAAATAAATTTATTATTTTAAAAAAAAAAGATTACCCCTGTTTCATTAGTCATAGAAGGGAGTGGCCAGAGTAAATAGTAAGGTGCCAGGAGAATAGACAGGACTTATTCAGTAGTTTAGCAGTAACCTAATCTCAGCAATATAAGACGACATCTGGCATTTGTGCTAGGTATATTCTGAGAAACCCACTGAAGAATGGAATGTATATTAGTTTTGGATTTTAAAAATTTCAAACTAGAAGTGTGTTGTTATTCATCTTTTATAGCCTTAAGATATCTAGGGAACAGCTTTTGAT